TGATGAAGATCCTTCCTACAGGAAGGGAACTGCAAGATCTGAGCCCTAGACACCCTGTCCGGTGGCCTAGCCACCAAAGATCTGCCTGGTCAGGAGGCAACAATGGGCTGAGTATCTGGTGGCTTCCAAGCCAGGGCTAGTACTCAAAACCCAAGGAGGCATAAGCCCTCTTTTTTTTTCTACTTTCTGCCTCAGTTCACACAAAGGTTCAGATAACTTTCTTACCATATGTTCTTCTTCTAGAAATTCCAGTATGAACGCATAGGCTTCTCTTTCTAATTGGCGCAATCCTGAAAAGGGATGTAGTTGGGGGAGGTTAGCTGATTCCACCAGCTGGAACAGGAAGGCAGAGTCATCCTCCCCCTCCCTTCCTGTCCACCAAGGAGGTTCAGAAGCTACCAGGGTCCTCAGAACCAGCTTCTCTAGGCCAATGGAAGCCAAAGTGGAAAGGCCATCCTGTGGGACTAGTTAAGAGATTTTCAGCCGGGTGCAGTGGCTCATGCCTGTAATCCCAGCACTTTGGGAGGCTGAGGTGGGTGGATCACCCGAGGTCAGGAGTTCGAGACCAGCCCGGCCAACATGGTGAAACCCCGTCTCTACTAAAAATAAAAAATTAGCCGGGTGTGGTGGCATGCACCTGTAGTCCCAGCTACCCGGGAGGCTGAGGCAGGAGAATCCCTGGAACCTAGAAGGCAGAAGTTGCACTGAGCCGAAATCACACTACAACACTCCAGTCTGGGTGGCAGAGTGAGACTCCATCAGAAAGAAGGAAGGAAGGAAGGAAGGAAGGAAGGAAGGAAGGAAGGAAGGAAGGAAGGAAGGCAGGCAGGAAGGAAAAAGAAAAGAAAAGAAAAGAAGGAAGATTTTCTGCATCAGGTATGGCCTGGGATGGAAGAACAATTGGGAGGCGACCTTTAAGTCACTCCCAGTGGCCACAAATTTCTAGGGCTGTCCTACACTGACTTTGAAAGTTTTGGTTGTGAATGGACTTGAAACCCCAAGTCAGCCTGGGAGGCTTCTTTGCCAACTGTACTGGCATAGCCTTCAGGGCGTCCCTCCCTGAGCCTGAGGGTTGAGGCCAGGAATAGAGCCTGTTTTCCCCAAGTGGAGTCGGAAGAAGGTAAAGCAAGAAGAAGGAGCTGGTGACACCACTGGGCTCCAAAGCAACATGGGCCATGGGCCTGAGTTCAAGTTGCTGCTGCCCTCTCACATTGCCCTGCAAGAAAAGCCACTCGGAATAGGGCTTGAACCCAAGGCACAGGAGCTACGCACAATGGCCCTGGCACCAAACTGCATGAGTTCAAAGCTCAGCTCCTCTGCTTCATCAGCTCTGTGATCTCCGGCAAATTAAACTCTGTCAACTTTACCTTCCCCATCTGTCTGACAGGGAAGATGATACTATCTGTTGTTATTTGAGGATTAAATGAACAATGAGTCTTAATACATGTAAGAAGTGATCTTGAGCAAATTAAATTCCCCCAAGCTTCAGTTCTAACATCTTAACCTGGGGGATGATCATCATAGTATCTATTATTGTTGTGGATTTAAATAAATTAATATGTGAAAAAATATTTAGAATGCTTCCTAGCATATAGTAGAAAATCAATAAGTGCATTCTTCAGTGTACATTTATTGAGAGTCTGCTATGTAAGAGGACTCTCCTAGACCCATCAGGGAAGAAAAGAGACAATAATCTTTGCTGTCATAGAGCTTCTTACACACCAGGGAGTTCCTTCACAGGAATTGCCCTTATAAAAGAATTTCTATTTTGTATTTGCCCATATAGGTTTGTATATACACAGAAGTCAAAGAAAATCTCATTGTATTTGAGTGGGCTTGAAGGACGTAAACATCAAGCCATTTATATATCTGGCGAGAGAGCATTCTAAGCCAAGGCAATAGTAAATGTGAAGGCCCAGAGGCAGGATCATGCCTGGAAAGCTCAAGGAACAGCAAGGAAGCCTGGGTGCCTGGAGTGGGAGGAGCAGGGAGGAGTGGTGGGAAGTGAAGGTAAAGTACTAATGGGGCAGATCATGAGGGACTCATAGCTTATTGTAAAGACAATTGGCTTTGGGGACAGGAGCCCCTGGCAGGTTTTGAATAAAAGTGGTCTGACTTTGATTAACAACAGCACTCTGGCTGTTCAGCTGAGAACAGATCAGGAGTAGAGGTGGAGAATGGCATGGGTGTGGGCAGAAGCAAGAGACCAACTGGGAGGTTGTGACAATAATCCAGAGGTGAGATGGTGGTTCACACCAAGGGAAGTGGTTAGAAGTGAATGATCAGATTCTGTATCCATGTTGAAGGTAGAACCAATAGGAATAGTTGATGGCTAGATGTGCATATGAGAGACAGAAGTCAAGAATTTTGGCCTTGATGCACTAGAAAGATTGAGTTCCCATTAATTGATGTGGGAGAACAGAACAGATTTGCCTTTGGGAATAAAGTTAAGAGTTCAGTTTGGAATATATTAATTTTGAGATGTCTACTAGGCATCAAAGTGGAGATATCAATAGGTAGTTGGATGTAAGAGCCTGGAATTCCAGAATTGCAGATATGGACTGCAGATACCAATTTGGGAATTGTTGGCATGTAGATGTTATCCAAAGATTTCTCTGCCTGGGTGCAGTGGCTCATGCCTGTAATCCTAGCACTTTGGTAGGCCAAAGTAGGAGAATCCCTTAAGCCCAGGAGTTTAAGAACAGCATGGGGAACATAGTGAGACCACATCTCTACAAATAATCAAGAATTAGCTGGACACGGTGGCACGCACCAGTACTCCCAGCTACTTGGGAGGCTGAGGTGGGAGGACTGCTTGAGCCCAGGAGGTCAAGGCTGCAGAGAGGTATGATGGTGCCACCGCATCCTAGCCTGGGTGACAGAATAAGACCATGTCTCAAAAGAAAAATATATACATATCTATCTAATCTATCTATCTATCTATCTATCTATCTATCTATCTATCTATCTATCTATCTATAGAGAGAGAGCCCTAGCTGTCCTGAACAGCTGTCAGCTACAGGAGGTGTCACTCAAATTATCAGGCAATGTCTTGTTCCTGGCCCAGCTCCAGACTTCTCAGGGAGGCAGGTACGCAGAGACTAGAGCTGTGACAGGGGTAGCCAGAAGTGGGCAGATGTGTGCCCATTAGGTACACCACAAGCGAGGGCTTGGGCAATCATCACCACTTCTGAGCACCCGCAGTTGAGATACAGGACCAACTGCTCACCCTGTAAGTGGGACTTCCAAGAGGCTTGTAATGTCGATGGCTCAAAGGTTACTCTCTTTGATTTTCGCTTGTTAGAACTCGGATTCATCTGTATGCTTGGGGCAGCAGCCTGCAGCTTGCGAGGAGAACAGTGGGCAGGCCAGGCGTGAGATAGTCCTTCCTAGGGATGCAGCCCTCTGCACTCACTCCAGGGGGAAGCTGCAGGAGGCAGACCTGCCTTTTACCACAAAAGGAATTGGCTGAGTAGGACCAATGCTGGGTCTCAGGGTCAGCTTCCCATTTCCTCCCATGGGAAGATTCGGGACCCTCTGAAGGGCCCTGGTCCCTCCTGATTTGCCTAGGAGTCTTCCATTCTGGGATCTTCCAGCATGGAGAATCTCAGACTCACAGGTGGGCTCCTAGGTCACAGTGGCCATCCCTGTGCCTCCAGGCCAAATTGCCTCTAGGAGTCTTGCTGCCAAAATCCCGAGGTCCCCTCTTCCCAGAGGCTTCTGTCCCCACTCCCTAATTCATAACCTTCCTTCTGCCCTATGGTAGGGGAGCTAAGAGCCCCCACATGTCTGCCCCTCCCAGACATGGCCCAGGGAAGCCTGCTCCTGGACCAGGAAGAAACTGCTGCTCAACCTGCTTCTCTCACGGCCCTGCACTTCGGGTCCCCGAACGGGCGCGTCCCATCGCTCACTGCCTTAAAGGGCCTTGCTCTGCCCCTGTGTGCGTCTCTTTTGTATCCCTCCTCTTAGCTGCTCTCTGTCCTGTTTTTGGGAGCTGCTGCTCGGACAGGCCATCCCATGGGAACTTGCTCACCCTCAGTTTTCCCTGGGCCTAACTCACCATCGTCTAAAATACAGAATCCAGCGCCCCATTCCCCACGAATAATAAGTCGAAGCGCTCAGGTCTGAGATCAGGATACCCTACAACTTCTCCAGAGACCCTGGAGCCGTCTCCCCTCCCGTACCTTCCCCAAGAATGGAGTGCCCCAGACCCCTGAGGCCCACAGATCCCCGCGGCCCCGAGAGCTGCATCCAGGCAGGGCTGGAGGGTCCCCTTCTGCAGCGAGGGCCGCGGCCCTGCCCCGCCCCTTCCTTGGCTGTGGAGGGAACAGGCGGGAAGGGGGAACCCTTTACCTGACACTCCGGCGCCTCAGGCCGGCGCTTCAGGTCCGGGCACAGCCTCTCCAGGGGGCGCTGTGCTCCGGGGCCCTGGAGCGACCCCTGCAGGGCAGGCACGGAAGTGTCCAAGGTGGAGCTCACCACCATGCCGCAGTGAGACCCCATGCAGAGGGCGGAGGGCTGAGAGCCCCGCCTCATCACCACCCCAAGGAGGGGCCCCAGTCTTCCAGGTAAGGGGAAGGGGCTGTTTCTAATGAGCCTGGGCACCGGGCAGTCAAAGCTCCAGGAATGGCTTAGAGGCGCTGAGCCACCCATCTCTACCGTCTGCCTGGCCACTCCCCTGTCCTTCTTGGGGAAGTGACTCCCAGAGGCCAGCTCCTCAAGCTGAAGAGGAGGCCGTAAGGAGCTTTGACAGGGGTTGTGCTGGCTTCCACCCTGCCCCGGAAGCAGAGAATCTGAGAGCCTCCCTCTACCAGGCAACCCATCACACCAGCTCCCCAGGGACCTGGCCAGCCCAGCTGGAGGGGCCGGGCAACTCAGTCACCTTGGCAGGCAGCCCAAGGGGCCGGGTTCAGCCTCTGCTCAGGAAACCTGGCACACACACACACACACACCCAAAATAATAATAATAATAATAATAATAATAATACCTCATCCCCAGCTCAGCCAATCACAAAAAACAGACTTTATTGAAGTATTTAGTACTAAACCCCACACAATTCCAGCTCTGTAGCTGAGGACACAGCCACTTGGCAATGGCACCAGGTGTTATACAGGACCAATAAGTTAATGTAAAGGACGCTTAGGTGTGGAAGGCCAGTGCTTAGCTATCTCCTGGTTCAGACCAAGGCGCTCTGGGCTCCAGTTAGGACACTGAGAGACCAGGGAAACCAACATGCCCTGGGGAAAGGGGCTTAGAGACAAACCAGAAAAGTACAGCATCCAAGCAGGGTATTCACACATGAGGGGCAGAGTAGGCCCAAAAGGTGGGGGTTGCTGATGCAGTAAGAGCACAGTGAGAGAAATGCCAGGTGCATCCCTTCAGCCTCTTGCGTCCTCCCACAGGTTCCTTTGATGGGCCATCCTGGGTCTTCCCTTGGCACCCTTGTGCAATCAGCTACACCGTTTTCTTTCCAGTAGGAAGAACTGTGCCTCTTTTAGGTCAGACACCAGAGGTTGAACCTTCCGCTATACTCACAGTCTGTTCCAGTCCAGGTAACATAGGAGCAGAGTTCTGCACAGGTAAAGTCAGAACTTAGCTCTCCCTACCTCTCCTAGCCTCAACTCAGTTGCTTTCTCATTGAAGCAGGTCCCCTGACCTGGAAGCAAAGAAGGCCCTAGGATGAGAACCCAGGGATGGCTAGGTGGTCTTAGCACATGCAGCTTCCACCCAGCCACTGCAGCTGGGACAAATAATGAATGCCCTCAAAGAAAATTCAGCATCTCATCAGTCCTTGGGAGTAAGTATGTCCATGTTGGTATAAATAAGCACCTTCTCAGAGCAGAAGCATAGCTGGTGGGGGCAGTAAGAACTGTGACTCCCTCCCCCAACCAGAACATGCCACAAAAGTGGTGCCTTTCCAAAACCACTTGTAAAGTATTGGTTTTTGAGACTACGATGAAAAAATGTTAGAAGGGCCGGGTGCGGTGGCTCATGTCCGTAATCTCAGCACTTTGAGAGGCCAAGGCGGGCAGATCACTTGAGATCAGGAGTTTGAGACCAGCCTGACCAACATGATGAAACCCCATCTCTACTAAAAATACAAAAATTAGCCAGGCATGGTGGCGCTTGCCTGTAATCCCAGCTACTCAGAAGGCTGAGGCAGGAGACTCGCTTGAACCCAGGAGACGGGGGTTGTAGTGAGCCGAAATCTTGCCACTGCATTTCAGTCTGGGTGACAGAGTGAGACTTCATCTCAAAAACAAACAAACAAAATGTTAGAAGGAGCAATGGGGCTGCAAACCCTTGAGATGCCCAGAGGTGGTTGTCAAAAGGTGACCACTAAGCACCAGCATGGACCAGTTCCCCGCCGGACTCCCTGAGGCTACAAACCATGATGCCACTGACTCAAAGCTCAGAGGTCTAGGAGCCCACAGGGCATGGACAGGGTATAGTGACTGGGTCCCTAAAGAGGATTTATGGGGTCAGGAAAATAGGAAAGTCTAGCAAGACAATACACCACCAGGATATACTGACCTTTGACCTACCACTTGGTGTGTGCATCACAGAGCACATTAGAAAAGGGGAAAGGATTCTCCCCCATCCCAGGCTGGGGTACTCAGAGACCTGGGAAATGGGGGAGAACCATGTGCATGACTCTCATGTACCATGTATGTACCATGTCCAGCCTCCAGCAATAGTGGGACAGGAGGGCCAGGGGCAGTTCCCCAGGGAAGTTCTTAGAACCAGAGCACAGAGCATTGGAGAACTCCCTAGGTGGCCCACTCTGCTTCACTCATCCCCTGCCACTTGTCTTGCATAAGGAGATAGAGGCTGTCAGTCAGACAGGCAAGGCCTTAAGTCCAGTAGGCTAAACTCTGGGGGATAAAGCATCATCATATCACAGGGGTTTTGAGGACAATCCACATATATAAATCCTTAGGTCAGGGCTTCTGAAAAAAGTCGTGTAAAAAAAAAACATAAAAGGTCTCAGCTCCAGGTCATCGGCCTGCGATGGGGATGGGGGAGCTGAAAGAGGCACTCAGGGGTGGGGGGTCTCAGCCCAGCCCCTCTATGAAACAGTCTTTTCCAGCATGGGGCGCAGAGTTACACCTGGCTGATGATCTCTCCTTTCTCAGGTACAAAGACTTGCACAGGGGCCCCGTCAGGCGATCTCCGCAGCACACACACTGTGGGCACCTGCCAGGGTCAGGAAGAAAGGAGAGGTGGGTAAATGAACCAGACCGAAAAGCGGGGACTGCAGGCGCAGTTACACCATCCTTATCCCTTAGGGACACTGACCAGCAGAAGCAGCAGCAGCAGCAGGCCCTGGCACTCAGCCCTTTCCTCCCAGGAGGCTCTCTGTCCTTCAGGGACCCCCTTTACACATTTTCCTCCAGTCCTTTGGGGTGTGACAGGCGCCCTGACCTCCTCCTCCCCTACTTTTCCTGGGCTCACTTCTCATCACCCTCCCTGTCTGGCAGGTTGGGATGGGTTGGGTCTATCCAGCCAAGGACAGGCCCAAGCGCGCAGGAAGGGAAAAGCACGTCAGCTGGAGGGCGCGGCCTGGGACTGGGGCCAGGGTGCTGCCAGGCCCAGGATGCCAGCTGCAGTCCAAAGAACCGTGGGTGGGGGAGGAACACGCAGCTGGGCCTGCTGGGAACCTGGGGTCTCAAAGAAGCAGCTTGTTGGTAACTTCTGGAGCACATCCCCTGCAGAGCCCTCCGTACCAGGGAGAAAGAATAAAGAAAGGATTCCTGTGTGTGGCTCCCCACTTCGAGAATGAAGAAATAGGGGCCAAGAAAACCAAGGTTGCCACCCTACCCAGTATCAGGGTGCTCTATCCTATATACTACCCTCCAGTCTGCTCCCTGGCCTCTGCGGCCCCAGATGATAATATCACATATCTAGTGCTTACCATGCATTGCTGTAATCATTCAGCCTCTTGGCAGCCCTATGAGACAGGTACTCTACTACTACCATTTCACAGGGGAGGAGACACTAGGTCCAAAGGGGTTAAGTCATTTGCCCAGTCATACAGCTCGTAAGTGGCAGAACTGGGATTTGAACCTGGTTGTCTAGCTTGAGGGTCGGTGCTCTTAACTCTGATGCCACCCTTCTTCTCGGCTTGGTGGGGAGGAGGAGTGTCAGGGAGGATGCTGATGCCCAGAAAATCACAGGTTCTGGCTTCTGCAACACACTTCCTACTCTCCCTTTGTCCTATACCTTCAAATGGAAGTTTGAGGGGCTGGTTTGGACTGGACCTTTGATTATGAAGAGGCTTATCTGCTTTGTGGATCATCATTTAGGGAGGGAAAAAGTCTCAGCTGTCTTCGGGGATCATCTCCACCAGTGTATATGCTTCTGAGCTAGACATGGCAGGCAACATTAGGAGGTGCCCCAGGGAAGCCAAGAGTGCCTTCCAAAGCCAAGAGGAAATGTTTTTTTGGCCTGTTCTTCCTAGCTGGGGTTTGATTACCCGGCCACTAGGTTGCTGCTTTGATGCCTCTCTACCCTTGGACATGCTAGAATTATAGCCCCTCCCCAGCAAGACAGCCCTTCTGCCTGGCCCCGGGGTCCCTCCAGAGCAGCCGTACCTGTGCCCGGGGTCCCAGGGCTCGCCCGAAGCCCTCTCTTCCGAGGGGCAGGCTCCTGACCCGGAAAGCTCCTTGGCGGTCCAGTGAGTGGGGGCGGGTGCTCCGGAGGCGTGCACGCTCGTGCCACCACTTGAGCTCCTCGGACACGGCGGCCTTACTGAGCCCCCGGCCTGCCGGGCTGTCCTTCAGGGAGGGCGTCCGCACAATGCGGCTGCGGGAGGGCACCAGCCGCTGGTAGCGCAGGGGAGTGCCCTCCTCCTCGTAGGCGCGGCCCGGGGCTGGGCGGCACAGCTCCCACTCGCCAGGCGGCAGGGGGCTCTCAGCCACCACCACGTACCGCCCCGCCGGGAAATAGCCAGGTGGCAGCAGTAGCTTGGGGTGGTGGGCGACCAGCTCTCTGCTGCCGGCTGGGCCCCAGGCCCCGCGGTGACGATGGGTCTTGGGAGGGGAGAGAGGCTGCAGAAAGGAGATGTCGGGGCTGCTGCTGCCGGGTGAGGTGGGGTGGGAGATGCTGGAGATGTCAGAGCCACTGTCTTCTGAGCAGGAGTGGCAGGAGGCGTGGGGCAGCGGGGGCTTGGTCGCGGGAAAGCAGGACTCTGGCACTGTCACCGTGTAGTGAGTGGGGCGGCGGCGGGGAAAGGCGCTGCGACCTCGGCCCTCAGGACCCGCCCGGAAGGAATCCACCCTGAAGAGGGAAAGAGAGGCATTCTGAGTGTGGGGGTCAGAAACTCTACGCTGGGGTTGGGATAGGAGGTGGGGTTAAAACAGGTGAGTCCTGCTCTACGTCAAGACCCAAGCATGGCCCTCCTGCAAGGGTCTTAGGTCAAACCTCCCAAAGCAAACCAACAAACCCTCTGCTGGGCTGTGTGGGTGCAACGCATTCCCTCACTGTGTGCAGATGTGTACCTGCTGCATTCACAAGCTTGTGATTCATGTAAAGTGTGCTACATCAAGTAGCACATTAAGTACTCTTTTAAAAGTACTACATTAAGTACTTTCAGCTGAGGTACACCGTGCCCAGTGGCAGATCATCCACAGCATCTATTCGGTAGGCACTGCCAGGTACCTGACTTGAACGCGTAAAAGCTGTCATGTGGTACCCAGAGCAGTTACATGCAGCCCAGGACCGGCAGGGGCTGAAATCCAGCCTTCGCTTCACTCTGCTAATGCACCCAGGTTTGGGGCTCTGTCCCCCTTTTTCCTAATTTGCACAAAGGCATGGTTTGTAAAATGGCCCTGGTAGCACGTAAAATATAAAATCTATTGCTGCGTGGTGGCGGATGCCTGTAATCCTAGCTACTCAGGAAGTTGAGGCAGGAGAATCACTTGAACCCAAGAGGCGGAGGTTGCAGTGAGCCAAGATTGCGCCACTGTACTCCAGCCTGGATGAAGGAGCAAGACTCCACCTCAAAAAAAAAAAAATTAAAAACTAAATAAAATCCATTGCTTTACTTGAGAGCAGTTGTCCCAAGCTGCCCCCAGTTCAGTGCTGCCTGACCAGCAAATTTAAGCTGACGGAGAATTCAGCAATGCTTTCATGGTGCCCCAGTCCCCCCATGGTATGGCCAATACTGCCTGTCAACACTTAACCATTTAAACTATTACCAAGTAGCAGATGACTTAGAAAGTAACATACAATCAATTCTCATTATTTGCAGATTCAGTATTTGTAATTTTCCTAGTTGCTAAACTTTATTTTTAATCCCCAAAGCAATATACACAGTGCTTTCATGGTCATTCTTGGACACTGCAGAAGAGTGACAAATTTGAGTCTCTTTAAGTTTCAGTTGAGGTTAAACGAGGCCATGTTCTGCCCTCATGTTTCAGTTCTCATGCTGTAAGCACACAGTGTCCTTTTTGTGGCATATTTATGTAGTGTGTGTGTTTTTGCTTTGATCGGTGATTCTGCTGTTTAAAATGGCCCCAGATACAGTGCTGAAGTGCTATCTACTGTTCCTCCCTAAGGCATACTGGGAAAAGGCTATGGTGTGCCTTATGGAGAAACTATGTGTGCTAGGTAAGGTTCATCCGGGTATGAGTTAGAGTGCTGTTGGCCATGAGTTAATGGATCAACAACCCATATTAAGTAAGGTGTCCTTAAGCAGAAACTCACATAACACAAGGTTATATATTAATCAGTTGATGCAAAATGTGACCAAAGGCTCACAGGAACCTAACCCTATATTTCCCCAGGGGAAATACAGTATTTGCTAATTCAGGATTTGCGTCAATTTTTCTTTATAGAACATAACTACCACAAATAATGAGAATCAACTGTGCGTCAACTGAAAAAGTGAATTGCCTATTGTCAGTGACCAATAATTACTAGCACGAGGAAACATGGCAAGGGTAGAAAATTTGAATCAAGTTATGCAGAAAGACAAAACTAGAGTCTTTGGAAGAAAACAACTTGCTTCATGGATGGCCTTTGGCTTTGCGGGTGGCAGTGTAGTCTCTGTCAAGAGAAGCCCCAAGAAGAGATCCTAAGAGAAGCCAAGGCACTAGCCATGTGTCATCCAGGGTTGTCCCACCTGTGTCCTGGGAGCTCCCACCCTCCAACTATAAGCTCTGAGTGGGTCCCCCATCTCTCTGGGGAAGCTGTCTCTTACCTCAGAGACTGCAACTGGCCCCTCCTCCCCTGCATCTCGGGGGTGGCTGGGGCACTGGTGCGGCCCTGCCACTGGCCAGGAACACCACGGATGGGAACCATGTGGTAGGAGGCAGGCTCCAGAAGCCACAGGCTAGAGGCACTGGGCCCATCCTGTGGCGTGGTGGCTGGGCTGCTGCAGAAGGATTAGAGACAGGTCAGTGGCAGGAATGCCTCCATTCAGGAGCTCAAGAGGTGCAGAAGAATGGGGATGCAGTGGAAGGGGCTCCCAAAGTTAGTGGGGCAAACTGCCAGCACCCTTGGGGAACTACCAAGGCTCATGCTTCCATCCCACTGCTGCAGGAGCTCTCTCCTCCACCTTTCCACTCTTCCATCCACCCAGCCTATGGCCGTCCCCAGCACAGCTCCCACCAACTCCCAGCCCTCCCCTTCTCCCTTCCCTCCCCGATCCTGACCTGGATTCGCTCCAGGGCTCAGAAGATTTCCTGGGCTTCTCATAGGGGTGGTCCAGGCTGGTCTCCTTCCAGGGGCTGTTCTGGACTGGAGCCCGTTCCGGGCCCCCAGGCTCAGGTTCTGTTGGCTGCAGACCCTCAAGGGTTTGGGGTGGGAGAGGCCGAGAAGGTGGGGCTGGGGACTCTGGAGGAGGTTTTGGCACTTGGGATTCCTCTGCAGGAGTAAAAGTAACCTGGTAAGGCCAGAGGCTGGGGGAACCGGCCCAACAAGAACCTCCACAAACCATAGCCCATGCCTCCCTCTCCCTCCCATGCTGGCTTGTGCGGCTGCTCCAGGCCATGGCTCCAGCCCTAGATGCTCAAACATGTTTTCTTCTTTGGGACTTACTCCTTCCCACACAGCACTATTTTATGTCTTCCTGCTTCAAGAAGACTCCTGGGTTGTCTCTCTCGGGCTTACAGTGCTCCACTTTCTAACCTTTGTTCCTGGTACCATGTCTGCAGTTATCTTCTGTTTACCTATTTTTCTTGTTCCTGCCATGCCCATATGGCCTATTTCCTTATTGGCTTGGGCACTCCCCTGGGCAGGACTGTAACAGCTTCTCGATCCACCTTGACCCTGGCATCCTCATGGTTTGTACACAGGGTTCTTAATCTATAGACTTGTGTTTCCTCCCCCAGTGCTCCCTTCCTTTCAAAACTGGCAATGATTGTGGGCAGATTGCTCTTTGGCTCTGACTGGTGCATCTTGAAATCAAATCCCAGGGTGAAGGAGGGACATCGGGGGTTGATCAGTTCTCTTGGAGTTCACCTTTCCTTTCCCTGTAAAAATAATGAGCTTCCAGAATGGGAGATCAGCACATTCCCCATCTTCAACTGAGCATGTGCAAGGGCACATGGAAATCGACATGAGGTCCAAGCGGAAATCCTAAGCCTGGCACCCTAGCCTTCACGCCCACTTAAATTCCATACCAGAAAACTACCCAAACCCCATGGTCTTGCAGTAGGAGTCCAGCCTTGACAATAGGCCCCCAAACGTCCTTCTCACCTTCCTCCAGGAGGAGCCCATCTGACAGGGAGCTGTCATCAGAGGCACTGAGCTCTGGGAAAGACAAAGGGGAGAGAAGAGAAGGAAGTGAAGAAATGAACAAACAGATATGAGTAACCAGCAGTGCTGAGCAGCTCAGGCCTGATCACTCCCCCAGGACAGCATCCGTTATGAGGAAATACCCACTGTATGCTAAATACACATTGGGAGTGAATTTTTTTTTTTTTTTTTCCTGAGACAGGGTCTTACCCTGTTGACCAGGCTGGAGTACAGTAGTGTGATCATGGCTCACTGCAGCCTTGACCTCCCAAGCTCAAGAGATCCTCCTACCTCAGCCTCACAAGTAGCTGAGAACACAGGGGCATGCCAGCACATCCAGCTAAATTATTTTATTTTTTGTAGAGAAGAGGTATTGCTGTCTTGCCCAGGCTGGTCTTGAACTCCTAGGCTCAAGTGATCATCCTGCCTTGGCCTCCCAAAGTGCTGGGATTATAGGCGTGAGCCACTGCACCTGGCCTGGCTGTAAACTTATTACACGGAAGTAGAAAAAAATAGAAGGCAGAGGCTAGGAGACAAGAAATGTGATTTTAATCCTGACTCTGATATTAGCTCTGCAACTTTGAATAAACGATTTCAATGCTCTAGACCTCAGTTTCCCCACCTGTCAAAAAAAAGAAAAAAGATGTCCTCTGGCAGGGCTTCTTGGCAGTGGAAAGGAAAGACAAAGAGTCATTTTAGAAGCCCTTGGGATAAAAAGAATTTCATGGCCAGGCGTGGTGGTTCATGCCTGTAATCCCAGCATTTTAGGCGGCCAAGGCAGTGGATGGCTTAAGCCCAGGAGTTCAAGACCCGCCTGGGCAAGATGGTGAAATCTGGTCTCTACAAGAAATATGAGAATTAGCTAGGCATGATGGTGAGTGCCTGTAGTCCCAGCTACTCAGGAAGGTGAGATGGGAAGATCACTTGAGGCTGGGAGGTTGAAGTTGCAGTGAGCCGTGATCACACCACCACACTCCAGCCTGGGAAACAGAGTGAGACCCTGTCTCAAATTTAAAAAAGGGAATTTCACTCTAATTTGTGTATAATCATCTCACATCACAAATACAATTCAAAGATCCCAATGTGAGACCTGCTGCGTTACTAACAACAAGAGCAACGCAAGATAGGAATTTGAATTTAAGATAAGGTCTGGCCAGCTGGCCCCATGGAAGGTTCTTCAGTTGGTGATCTGGCAAGTCACCTGAAGGTAATGTAGTGTGACTTTTCTGCATGGTATAGCAGCACTTGTTACCTAGGAAATCAGAGGGAACTCATTTTTGCTATTGCCCTTGAACAAACTTAAGCCTTCAGATTTTTTTTTTTTTTTTTTTTTTTTGAGACGGAGTCTTGTTCTGTCACCTAGGCTGGAGTGCAGTGGCGTGATCTTGACTCACTGCAACCTCTGCCTCCCAGGATCAGGCGATTCTCCTGCCTCAGCCTCCCGAGTAGCTGGGATTATAGGCACCCACCACTATGGCTGGCTAATTTTTGTATTTTTAGTAGAGACAGGGTTTTACCAGGTTGGCCAGGCTGGTCTTGAACTCCTGACCTCAGGTGATCCACCCGCCTCAACCTCCCAAAGTGCTGGGATTACAGGCGTGAGCTACCACACCCGGTCAAGTCTTCAGATCTTAAGAATAAGCCTAAAGTGACCTGGATGGAACTAATGAAACTTTTGCAACTGTGTTTGAGAATGAAGATGAGGAAAAAGTAATAATTGCTAATGTTTCTACTGTGCCAATACATTTCTAAATACAGCACTTTATATATATTAATTCAGGTAATTCTCATAACAACCACGTAAGGTAGATGTTATCATCTGCAAGTGACAGTTGAGGAAACCACGTCTCAGAGGAGTTGAGTAACGTGGTTTAGGTTGTACATTCAACAAAGCTGGTTGAGTCAGAATTCACACCCAGACAGTCTGACTGGAGTCTGCTCTTAACCACAACCCTTTATGGGCTCTCCCCTATGAGCTTGCATCTCAAATGCATGAGCATTACACAGGAAGTTTAAAGAAAAGTAAAAAGTTCCAACCATCTTGAAATCCCTTACAACAGGGGTTAGCAAACTATGGCCCAGGGGCCAAATCCAGTTCAATGGCTGCTTTTATAAATAAAGGTTTGTTGGAACACTGCTATGAATTTGTTTATGTAATGTCTGGCTGTTTTAGCACTGAAGTAGCAGAGTTGAACAATTGTGATAAAGACCAAACAGCCCACAAAGCCTAAAATATGTGCTATCTGGTTCTTTGTGGAAAAGTTTGTTAACCTTTGCTCCACAACTTTTTTTTTTCTTTGAAGATGGGGTGTTACGATGTTGTCTAGGCTGGAATGCAGTGGCCCAATCACAGCTCATTGCAACCTTGACCTCCTGAGCTCAATCAGTCTCCCACCTCAGACTCCTGAGTAGCTGGGACTACACGTGTCCACAATCATGCCTATCCAATTTTTAAATTTTAATTATCTGTAGAGACAGGGTCTCCCTATATGGTCCAGGCAGGTCTCACACTCTTGGGCTCAAGAGATCCTCCTGCTTGGCCTCCCGAAGTGCTGAGATTACAGGCTTGAGCCACCATGACCAGCCTGCTCCACAATTTAATGAAAAAAATCTTTATCCAGAGCAGGTGTTAGATTTGCAGGACACACGGTGCCAGAAGCTGGGCCTGACTCCTGAGTAGACAGCCAGCCCATGCTTTGCTTGGCTCACAAGTAGCCTTTGCTTTAGGGTTCAATTAAAGAGACACCCTCCTACTGAATTCTGGTCTCTTGCCTTTGATCTTTTATAAAAACCTTAGGAATAAAGGTTTTTATTGGGCCAGGCACACTTGTAATCCCAGCTACTCCAGAGGCTGAGGCAGGAGGATTGCTTAAGACCAGGAGTTTGAGACCAGCCTGGGCAATAAAGCAAGATCCCATCTCTAAAATAGTTTTTGTTTTGTTTTGTTTTAATTTGCTGGGTGTGGTGGCACATGACTGTAGTCCCAGTTCCTAGAGGCTGAAGGAGGAGGATCACTTGAGCCCAGGAGTTCAAGGCTGCAGTGAAGTATGATCACACCACTGCACTCCAGCCTGAACAACAGAACAAGACCCTATCTCTCAAACGATTTTAAAAAAAGATTCAGGTTTCTGAGAGCTGCTCACTATCTCACCCACTGTCCCAACCTCTGCCCCGCAGCAGCATCACAGGACACCCCAGGCGGAGGGGTAGCAGTGGAGATCATACTCACAAATGCTGAGCCTCCTCCAAGGCTGTGCTGTCCAACACAGTTGCCACTAGCCGCATGTGGCTATTTTCATTAAAACTAAATAAAGTCAGTTCCTCAGTCACACTAGGCAGAGTTCAAATGCTCCGTAGCCACATGCAGCGAATGGCTACTGTATTGGACAGCACAGATACGGAACACTTCCATCATCTCAGAAATGCTATGAGAAGCCAGGTGCAGTGGCTCACACCTATAATCCCACCACTTGGGAGGCCGAGGCGGGAGAATCCCTTGAGGTCAGGAGGTCGAGACTAGCTTGGACAATTTGGCGAAATCCCATCTCTACTAAAAATACAAAAATTAGCTGGGCGTGGTGGTGGCGCACATCTGCAGTCCCAGCTTCTCAGGAGGCTGAGGCAAGAGAATCTCTTGAACCCAGGAGGTAGAGCTTGCAGTGAGCTGAGATGGCTCCACCGCACTCCAGCCTGGGTGACAGAGCGAGACTCCGTCTCAAAAAAAAAAAAGAAAAAAAAAAAGAAATGCTATGAGGGTATTGCTAATGGCTGGTGTTGTTGATCAACAAATGCATCCAGAGCGCTTATTACACTGCACAGGTGGGTGCCAGGTGGCCCTCATGGGCTTCACCCTAGTAAATGAGCTCAACACCTGACTGCTCCCTGCCACTGCAGAGTATGGCTGATGACTCTCACTTAGCACAGTTACCTTCCCAACCTGAATTACCCTTATATGGAGCCCAAAAGGGCAGGGTGGTTTTTTGTTTGGGTTTTTGGTTTGTTTGCTTTTTTCACCCCCTTTTATTTTTTTTTTTGAGACAGAGTTTCGCTCTTGTCGCCCAGGCTGGAGTGCAATGGTGCAATCTCAGCTCACCGCAACCTCTGCCTCCTGGGTTCAAGTGATTCTCCGGCCTCAGCCTCCCGAGTAGCTGGGATTACAGGCATGCGCCACCATGCCTGGCTAATTTTGTATTATTAGTAGAGATGGGGTTTCTCCATGTTGGCCAGACTGGTCTCGAACTCCCGACCTCAAGTGATCCACCCACCTCGGCCTCCCAAAGTGCTGGGATTACAGGTGTGAGCCATTGTACCTGGCCTCCTTTTTTTTTTTTTTGAGACAAAGTCTCACTCTGTCGCCAGGCTGGAGTGCAGTGGCACAATCTCGGCTCACTGCAATCTCTACCTCCCAAGTTCAAGCGATTCTCCTGGCTCAGCCTCCTGAGTAGCTGGGACTACAGACATGCGCCACCATGCCTGGCTAATTTTTGTATTTTTAGTAGAGATGGGGTTTTACTATGTTGGCCAGGCTGGTCTTGAACTCCTAACCTCATGATCCGCCCACCTCGGCCTCCAAAAGTGTTGGGATTGCAGGCATGAGCCACCGTGCCCGGCCTTCCCTTTTTAATTCAAAACACCTCAGCTACTAATAATTCTGCTTTACTTCCTCCTTTCTAGAAGGGCGGATGGGCAGAGGAGCCACAAAACAGAAATTATTTGTCTAGAACTGATCCATTCTGTGCTCTCACGACAGGACTTTAGATCCCAGGGCCTGAAGTTGGCGAGTGGGGTCTTGATTCCTGATGCAGGAAAGTCAGCAGCTACACCAGCTGTCTCCTCTCCACAGCTCTGTCTTCACCTGTACTGAGTACTCCAAGTTTTCAGAATCTCATCCTCCTGCCTTCCACAGAGCCCCAGGCCAGTCCTGGCCTGCTCCTGACTCCCAACAAGAAGCATTATGGGTCACAATGGCAGCATCAGGGTGACACTCCCTTGCCACCCATCATGGGCAGAAGCTCCCAGCAATGGCAGCACCGGTGGGTAGGGGAGGCTGCTGAGCAGTGTGAGGTTGGAGCGGGGAGCAGGAGGCCCTGCAACCAACTGGCATATTTCACCACTCTGACCTCTGCCTGCAAGCACAGAGCAAGCTGGCCCTTAGGGGCTTCCATGCCCAAATCAGCAGCTACCTTTCAAGGCTGCTGGGATCCCTGCTGAGAGTGGAGTAAGGATGTAGAATTTGTCTTTCATTAGAGCCTCAGAGACTGGGAGTGTTGTTCTGCGGCCAAGCCAGAACCACTGGAACCAGACGGAGGTCTGGCCATTTTCCCTGGGTCAGCCCCACTGTCTTCTGACTTTACTGGGTTAACTGTCACATGGAGGCACCTCCTCTTTATCACCTACTCTTGGCTGCGGGAGGTGACCTGGGTGGTGTCTGGTCACGCACTTTCTACCCTAAATTAGAGGCCATGGATGGGAGCAGGGACTTCTGAGACCTGTGCTGAGATAACCCCCTGCCTGAGGCATGGGCCACGGCACAGGGACTAGCAAGGGCCTTCCAGCTTCCCCATGACTGCTCCCAGGCTGAGGAGTACTCTTGGCAAAAAGCCAACACGATATGCAGGGATGGGAGCCTGAGAATGTGAGTGAAGGCCGAGACCTCTGAATCCAATTCTATTGCAGGGCCACTGCCTCATTCCCTCCTGGTTCCCTCTGAGGCAGCCAGGGAGGTCTGGGCCCCATGTGAGAGACTGGGGGGCAGAGCTGAGTCATGGGCCTGCTGCGGTGGGGCTTGGAATGGAGAGCTGCAAGTCCTGACCTGATAGGCTGGTCCTGGGTCAGGACAAAGGAAAACAGTCACACTTAAGGGCTCAGAACCCCCTGTTGGAAGCTAACCTGGGCTGGACACACTGATGTGATGTGGCAGGCCCTGGGCATCAACAACTCACTAGGTGCCCCCACAGCCACCAGTCTCTGGGCCAAGGAGCTCAGAGATTGAACTACAGACACAAGGAGGGCAGAGAACAGACATGGAAGGATCCCACCCTTGACCAGGGTGGCTGTAGATACTTAAGGGGCTGTGGGGCATGGCACCAGTGCTGCTGGATTTCAACCTGAACATCTTCTAAGTAGCTGTGGACCCCTGAAACAATTCAGCGATCAGTAACACAAAGCAATGGTCAATCCCTTTGCTGCCTAACTCAGGCCAGGGGACTACACATCAACTCAGAGCCTTGGGCTCATGTGAGCCTCACACTACCCTGACGCAGAGGAGCCATCACCCTGTGGGCCTGGAGGGCAGCGGGACCGGCCTGGGCTACCCAGTTGAATGCAACTTGGATTCAGCTCAGGGTCAGCTGAGAAGTATCTCTGTGTAGGAAGTCTCTTGAAGGGAGTGCATTTTGAGGAGGGTACGGAAGGAGACAGTAGGGTGTTTTCCAAGTAGACGGAGGAGAGGACCTCACAGGATACGGAAGACTTGCTGGAATTGCAGAGAATCAGGATGGGGTGGAGTTGAACCCAAGAATCAGCTTTACCCAGCTGGAGTCAAACGCAAAGGCAGTGGCACGGGGCTGTGCGCCCACCATCCCTCAAAAGCTCGTTTAAGGAGCATGGCCCAAGGGCCCTCGGGGCTGCTGGCTCACCTCGGCCCAGGGGGAGGGCAGCAGCCGGAGGTGGTTCACTGTTGCGCCTCCGCTCGACCAGGCAGCGCTGGAGCTCCTGCAACTTCTTCTCCTCCTGCAGCATGGAGTGCTTCCGCTGCCGCCGAGCCTGCCTGCTGAGATTCTCCTCCAGGCACAGCCGACGGGCTGCCTCTGTGATCTGCAGCTGCAGGGCCAGCTGGCGCTCCAGGCTGCTTAGGGGGTCCTGAGAGAGGGGGCAGGAATGAGGCTAGAGAGAGGCAGGGAGATTGGGGGCCCAGAGGGTAGAGAGCGGCCCTGACACAGTGCTCTAGGTCCCAGTCCTAAGCCCTGAAGACAGAAGAGAGGCAGACAGCAGCACCAATGGACGGACATGGAGCAGAGAGGGTGGAGGGGTGGGAGGAGCTGAAAAGCAAACTTGTCAGCCTGAAAAGCTGGCAGGGGCACCCACCCACCAATCTGCCTGCTGAACCAGGCAGGGTGGGAACCCAAGTGGGACACTTTCCCTCCTGACCCCAAAGGGTGGGGCAGGCTGGTCCGTGGGAAACTGCTGCCATTGATGCCATGGGGAAAGGGCACCCAGGGCCTGACTGCCCCCACCTCCTCCTGAGAAAGGAGGACAGCCGTAGGGGCCAGAGTAACCTGTCTGAGCAGGCTATTGCCCGCTGGGTTAGTGGCTGGCGCTCTTAACTGATCTTCTGCCCACTGGGGCCAAACCCAGTGTCCTCCCTTGAGCTCCCAGCTTGCAGTTCCATGGTGGCGCCCCTTCTCCACGGCCATTTGGGCTACATATTCATGGTGCCCCTTGCCAACATGCAGCCAAGCACCCTCATTGGGTGTGAAGGGGTGGAAGGGAACCTGCCAGGGTACTAGGCTGAGGTGTGGCGTCTCAGTGATCAGCTTTGGGGGGTCGAGGGGTACTGGCAGCTTCCTGAGGTTCCTCACCTCTCTGTGCAAGGCCCAGTCATCCAGTTTGTAAGCTGCTCCGATCCTGCGGCGAACCTTGGGGGCCTTTTCCCCTGGTTTGAGGGGATACTCCGCTGGCAAGGTGCCCGTCAGCTCCTAGGGAGGAAGCAGAGTCAAGCCAGGCCCACTGCCCAGCCTTGGCCACTGGCCCCTGAAATGCAAGTACCTGCCTTCCACAGAGGCCCTGTTGGGACCACCTTCCACACTCCTCCCCACATCCCATCCTCCACGCTGTCTCTCCCGTCTTCAGACCCACTCTGCACCCCTCCCCTTTCCCTTCAGACCTCCTTCTGATCACTTCCTCCAGAGTACACCGACCCAGGTTACAGCACTCATATGCACTTATGTCTACGCAGTCCCTCTGCAGCCCCTGATGAGCTTTGTTCTCTGTGCCTGGGCCCCCGCCTGGGTCTGACTCTTCTCCATCCAGCGCAAGGTCAAACACTGCGTCATGGGGACTCTGGGCCCCAGCCCCCAGCCTGATGTCCAGAATTCCCTCAAGAATGGGGCTCCCTCTCCCCAGCTCCCGCATCCCCAAACATGGCTCCACAGCCCCTCAGATGAACGCCATGCTTGTGTGTGCTGGCTGGGGCCTCACCGCCTCCCGCAGGCAGAGTCTCCTCAGCTCCTCCAGGCAGGCCTCCAGCCTCGCCTCCAGGGCCCTCTGCTGCTTGTGCACTGCGTGCGCCAGCTCCTTCATTGGGGAGACTGGGCTGTCAGGGCCTGCAGGGGTGGGGGGCACATGCTCAGGGAGGCTGAAGGCGGAAGCCTTCTCCGTTACTTGTTGACCACCCCTAGGGGAGCACACATGCACACACACACACATCTCATGCCTGCCCACAAATTGCAGGCTGCCTGCTGTGGCCTGTGTCACAGCCGCAAAACACCACGTCTCTTGGCTGCACAAATGTTACAGCTCAGAAGGGAGGGTCGTCCTACCAGGTGACCTACAGTGGGGACAGTGCAAGGGAGGGAGTTCTGCCCATGCAGTCCTCCCCACACTCCTCCTCCCTTCTCCTTCCTCTTTTCCTTCTTCCTCTCTTTCTCTCTCTCCCTCTCCCCACTACCCCTCTCTCTTGCACACACACAAAAGTCTCTTATTTCTTGTCCTCTCAAAACTAGGCCAGACTAGGCCCACAGGTCTGGCCAAACAGAGAGGCAAGACCTTCACATTGGCCAGATGATATATATTTTTTTGAGATGGAGTCTTGCCCTGTCGCCCATGCTGGAGTGCAATGCTGTGATCTCGGCTCACTGCAACCTCCGCCTCCCGGGTTCAAGCGATTCTCCTGCCTCAGCCTCCCAAGTAGCTGGGACTATGTGGTAGCCAGGATGGTCTCGATCTCCTGACCTTGTGATCCACCCACCTTGGCCTCCCAAAGTGCTGGGATTACAGGCATGAGCCACTGTGCCTGGCTGAGATTTTTCAGCTTCTCAACTGGGGCTAAAGCTGAACACTGCAGATCCCTCTTCCAGATAGAACCAAAACTCCAAGCCAGTTTTCTCCAGGGAGGAAAACTCCACATGTCCCTGAGGCTCCAGCCCTTCCAGAACCTCCCCCTCCTCCCGGGAGAGGCCTCTCCCTCCCCTTCCTCTCAGCCCTTGGGAGTCTCAGCTGGGCCAGCCCTAGCGCCTGGGGACTCAGGACTCAGGAGTCAGGGCCGGGGACCAGGGCAGGGGGATTTCCCTGAACACTCACCAGACTGCAGGATGATGCCGCTGTCGGTGTCACTGACCTCATCCTTACTCTCCATGGTGGATTTCTGGAAGGAGAAGGCACAGAGCAGGGAGGGGGGATACCGTGACCAGCCTGGGCCAGGATGTGTAGGTAGCCTGGAGTTTCCCCAGCTTTAAAGAGAAAAGAGAACAATAACAAAAAAGCTAGATATGAACCATCTTGGTTACAAAAAGCTTAATAGATGCTTAAGAGCAGGGGAGTGGGAGGGCTGTGCTTCAGGAACCATCTAGGGTGGGAGATTCTGGCACTGGGGGTGCTGCCCGAGAGAAGGGGCTGTGGGCCTCACCAGCAAACCCTGTTCTCAGTGGACACTCAGGGGCCCAGCCTAGCTCCCCTCTGGGCCAAAGTCCTTTAGGCCTAAGGAGGTTGACAACTGTGGTAGCCACAAGAGCCACTCGACTGGGGAGAAAGGCAAGAAGGAAAAGAGCAGAGACAGGATAAAAAGGAAGGGTACAAAGAAATGGGATGGGATGACAAAGAAAGGAGGAAGGGGGCCCCGCATGGTGGCTCACACCTGTAATCCCAGCATTTCTGGAGACCAAAGCAGAAGGATTGCTTGAGGCCAGGAGTTCAAGACCAGCCTGGACAACTTAGACCCCATCTCTCCAAAAATGAAAATTAGCTGGGCATGGTGGTGTGCACCTGTAGTCCCAGCTACTCAGGAGACTGAGGCAGGAGGATTGCCTGAGCCTGGAGAAGTCAAGGCTGCAGTGAGCCGTGTTCACGCCTTTGCACTCCAGCCTGGACAACAGAGACCCTGTCTCCAAAAAATAAGAAAGGAAGGGGAAGACGTCTTTATGGGACACAGCTATCCTCAACCCAGGAACCCAGGAGGTGTGAGGCATGTCCTACTGCCCCAGTGGCTGAGGGCACTTCAAGAAGTGGGCAGGCACATGGCCAAGGCCCTAGTCTGGGGCCTCCAAAGCCCAGGACGCCTGCTCTCTGAATTGGTGCCCTGGACTCTGAATTTCACATCTGCAGACATGTGTGGCCACTGTATGCCACAGAGCTGTCCCAAAGCCCTCAAACAACTTTCAAGCCATCAATTGCTCCTAGGAGACCCTTGAAGGGGAATCAGCCTAGATTCCCTACACCCCACAACCCAGGGCTGTGTCTGTCAGGGTTGTCAAGACTTGACACGTGGGGGGCGAGCAGTGGCTAGAGCAGAAGCTGCGCAAGGACAGAAAGGAGAACACCTGCTCCTCTGCCTGCTTTGGGGTGGAGAACACTTGGGTGGTACAGGTGCCATCCCATTGTGTCGGCTCAGCTAGGGAGCAGTCACCCAGATAACACCTGTGCCCGCCCCCTCTCCCTCCTCACCAACCCACACCCCTGGTTGGGGTCCCAGCTGGCCACGGCCTGGCAGCTGCTGGCTGCAGCAGGGGTGGGAGGGGTAGGCGGAGCCCGTGCAGGCGGTCCGGTCTGGAAAGAGAGCCCAGCCACCTCCTCACTGAGTCAGCCCATTGAGCAAGAGTCCAAAAGTCCTTCCGAGTTTCTGTCTGGAGCCTATCCTGCCTCCTCAGAGCGCGGGGCCGCAGGGTGGGGGAGGTGAGCTCCACCCCTCCACAGGCAGCCAACAGGACAGAAAACTCAGCCGGAAAGCTGGTAACAAAGCGAGGCCAACAGGGAGAGGGGACTGCTGTCAACCAGGTCCCTGTGATACGTCTCCACCCATCAAAATGATAAGAGCAGGACGATCAAGAACTTTTATAGACCTACGTAAACAACACAGCAGCCACAGGCAGCAACAATCAAACACAAAGCCCTAAAAGCAGCATGTACCTTGCACTTTGGAATTTCAATTATTCAAGGAAGTCTAGAGAATGCATGAGAGAATTATTTTTTTTAAGTTTATGGGAGGCCTTTGCAAACAGGCCAAAGTTCTGAAAGACTGGCCATATATTCTGGGACCCCACCCAGCAGGGTACTTAGGATGACTATTAGCTCTGCACTGTCCATCTGTCCCAAACTCTATCCCTCGTAGAGATAAGAACAGGACAGAGGAGCAGGCAGCTCACCCCCACCCCTTCCCACTCGCCCTAGCCATCCTCCCACCTTCCCCAGAAGCTAAGGGCAGGATGCAGCCAGAGCTAGGAAGCAAGGTGGTCTCAGCTAGCACACTGAGTGTGTCTGCTTTGGACAAAGGAGGAAGTAATGTGGGAGGGGAAGCCATTAATTAGTCACGCTTGCTAATTAATTATTAACCACTAAGTAGTTGCCTTGGAAAGTTGGGCCAACTCAGGCCCTGCTTCTCAGGGGCTCTGAGACTGTTGCAGAGGAGTGGGGACTTACAGGGACAGAGGCGTACCTTAGCACGCCTCCTGTCTCCGCCAGCTGCCCCTTCTCCCAGCTGGGCCCAGCCTCTCACTGCCAGCGTCAAAGGGGAGGCACTGATCTTGCCGGTGGCCCCAGGCTGATGCTGGGTGCTCTCTGGGATGACTTGCCGCCCCAAGTAGAGCAAAGGCAATAGTGTCAGAAGCCCATAGCCCGGTTGTGGAATCAAGGCTTGGTTCTGCTGGGTCTGCGCTACCTTGGGAAAGTCACCAGGCCTCCCTGGGCTTCCTTTCCTCCTGTGCACAATAAAGACTGCACAGCATCTAAGGCCTTTCCAGGTCCCCGGTCTGAATCTCGACCTCTTGGTCAATGTCAGGCCAAGAAGGAAACCGCACAGCCATGTAGCAGACCCCCACATCTGCCTCTGCCGAGGCCGCCCTCCACAGCTGTAGGGAACCTGCCCCAGAGTCCGCAGGTGAGAGCGAGGGCACCACCCCCACCCAGGACGCTATGAGTCTTAAGTGTCTAAGGCATTGCTTTTAGGTAAAGGCAGTTCAGGTAACATCCCACCCCCTCCCCAACACAGGGATCCCTCCTGGGCCTCTTCAAGCCCCAGTACTGGGCCCTAAAAAGCAGCCACCCGGCTGAACAATGTCCCCAGAAAAAGGCAGAGGAGACCAGAAGGGGCCCAGAGGGAGGGAGGGAGGGAAACTCCAGAGCACCTTCCCTCAGGCTGGGCCATGGGGGATCCTCCTCTATCCCAAGTGTGTCCCCCAAAGCCAGGTCTTGGGCCGGCCTGTCCCAGCTCACCTCTGCTTGCCCTCCCTCTGGCGGAAACTAAGGCCTGGGCAACCACAGGAACAGGCTCCTGTCCAAGCCCACCAACACCCCTCTGTCATCCCTACACCCCAGACATAGGCTGGCGGGGGTGGGGGTTGGAGGGCTGATGGCCACTGCTTGGGCTCCTGCACTCCCAGGCCAGCCTGCTGTCAGTCCCAAAGACCCATTCCACCTACCCCGCCCTCACCTGCTTCTGGGCTTTTGTCCAGGAGTTTGAGAAACAGCCCCTGCTTCCAGTCAGGGGGCGCAGGGCCCTTGCATGTCACCTCAGGGTCTCCCAAGCCACAGGCCTGTGCTCTCTCTCCAGCAGACGGGGCTGCTGGCCATCCGTCTCGGCTCACCTGCCTGCCTTGCCGTCCCTCCCAGGCTGCCGGGCCAGGGGAACCAGGTTACTTGTTATGACTTGAGTCAGAGGGGAGGAGCAGGTGAGCAAGTCCTTCCCTGAACTAATCCCGTGCAACTGGTGCCGGCAGGCAGCTCCTGGGCCTCTGCACTTCCGGGGGGCAGGAGGGTAGCAGGGAAAAAGGGGCTCCCATGGAGGAATCCCCGAAGAAGGCAACAACAAGGGTCGTGTCTTCATGGCCTCAAGAGACCCTAGTACAACGTTCTGAGCTGTGAGGTACCTGCGTGCTCTCCTGTCCTGACCCTGGCTCTCTCTGCCTTCCTTTGACCTCAGTTTCTCTTTCCAGAAATCAAGGCCTGTTAAACCCCCCAGAAGCAGGGTGAGATGTTCACTGTCCACTGAGAAAACAAGTAGGACATTTACAAACTGACAGGGATGGGTCATTGCTCTTCCCCATATACCGAAATGGAGATCAAGGCCTGGGTTTTATCTCTACTGGGTGAGGATTTTAAAACCTCAGGCAAGGCAGCTGGAATTCCAATATGTAGAAGTTCTAGAATCCTAGAGAGGGAGATCAGGCTGTTCTTTTTATCCCAGACATTTTCCCCCAGGGGTATCAAGGCCATCACTTCTCTGTTTATTATTACATCCATCCCCCAGCAACGCATGTTCATGGGGCACTGATAGGCACTGACCTGAGCCCAAGTCCTGTTCCCTACTCCACAGGAGGTCCACTGTGACCCTAGACCCTAAGCCCACTCTCCAAATGCAAGGAACCAGAGACCAAAATGGAACTTATTTCCTACAGAAAAATAAGCCTCAAGGTCTCCCTTGAGGAGAGACCTCCCGACCCCCAAGCAAATGGGAAACTGGAATCTAGCCTATTTCACAGAAGGAAGCAGAACTAAGGCTGACTGTTGCCTGTCCCTAGCAGGCTGCACCCCTCAAGTCTTCATCTTACCACCTCCCTTTCCCCCCACTCTCTGATCTTCCCACCATTCCCCCCACCCAGATTCCAGTGCCTCAGTATTTGTCTGGATTGCCTCCCCTCCCCCAGACCCTAAAGAGCCCTGTCCCCCATTCCCCACTCCCCACCCCCGAGTGCAGAGAAGACAGAGGAAGTTTGCTTTCACCAGGCATCTCCTGTGGAGCAGAACTCATGGGACTGGAGTCCGCCAGCATCCCCCACAGCTCCGGTACACACACCCAGCACACCTTCGCATTCCTGTACACACCCTTTTTCCAAACAATGCTAGCCCCAGAGTGCTGCAGGCTGACCACCTCATTTTCTGCCCAGGCTGAGGCTGAGGGGCCCTAACAGGGGACAGTTCCTCCTCCCCCTACCCCATGGGGAGCTTGTTCTCTGGGTCTCCCAAAGAGCCTGCAGTCCTGCCCTTCCCCAGTCCTCCATGACACACAGTCCCTCCCCATAGAGGCTTGGCACTTTCTTACAAAGTCAAACAGAGAGGGGTTAACTCTGGGCATAAGCGGCCCTTCCTCCACGTTGCCCACCCCCAGCTCCAGGTGGGGGTTGGTGGAAGTTTCTAGAATTGGCTCACAGTTCACATTTCTTAATGCATAGAATAAAATTAAGAAGATCACTAAAAAAGTCAATTGTATGAAATAAAGTTCTAAAAATAAAAAAACATAGCAATATATATGCTTCTTTATTAACATTAAGCAGGGTCTAGCAGTGGGTAATTTCATACAAGGGCTGAGTGTAAACAATATTTCAAGACAGCTGTGACTGCAATGTGATATGAAACTGTGAAATCTATTAATGGCAGTCACAGGTACTGCCAATGCTACCGTGATTTGTTGTCTTCACAACTAAAGGTGATGTTAAAATCTGTTAAAGATTGGTGAAAAACAGTATCTTTTTTTTCCTCACCTAGTTTACAAACCCTCTGAATTCTATCTACAGATGCCTAATGCCAATGAACCCAGTTAAGAATCCCTGCCCTCAGGTAATCCACCATCTCTGACTTCAGGGGAGGTTAGTACAGATGCTCAATCTGTTTGCATTGATCCTTTGGAATTCTCAAAAACGCTTTGCTCCCCCAAATTCACACTCAATATTTCCCAACCCTGCAGAATCTGAGGTTTGGAAGGGAGCTGGCAAACCAAACCTCTTGCCAAGAATCCCAGGGAGCCATCCTTGGAGCTCTCTGATAGCCATGTCATTCAATTCAAAATACTAATGGGGGAGGTGGGCACTCCAGAGGCCAGCTGGGAATCTGAAACAGCTCCCCACTCCAGCCAGGCTGGGGAGTCAGGGGACTGATGCCCTAGCCCCAAACCCTAGAGCACCATCCAGACCACCAGTTGGTGAGGAAGTGGTATTTCCTTGCAAAACATTATAGTAGTTGGAATCTGATCTTTGCAGACAAGAGCCCTTCCCCAGGGAAGGGAAACGACCTCTTTAGTGTTTTCATTTCCTAAGGAAAAGTCCCGAATCAGAAAACTCTTCCCCAGCGCTGTAGCCACCCACTCTCCATTTTTTTAAAAAAAGTTCCTTCTTCTAGCGTCATCTGATAACACCAGATTGGAAGTTCTTTAAAGCAAGGGCCTGATCCTACCATCTTCACATCCCCAACAGCCCCCAGCAAAGCAGTCTCAGGCACTGCTAAAAATCTTACTTCATGAATTAAGGAATCAATGGCCAGCGCTAGAGCCAACAGTGAAAAAAGGAAGAAGTGAAATAGCCCGGGACCCTCCAGGCAGGAGGGGTGGGAGATGGTTCCTTCACTGTTTTCTTACTTGCATCTGCTCCCTGCTCACTAGGAAAGGTGTTCGCCTCCACTAAGCAAAGGTGGAGTGGGGAACTCCAAGCCAGCCTGGAATGCGCCCTGAAATGAGACCTCTAGGCTTTCTCTAAAAAGCCCCTTTGTCCTGTCCACTCTGCTCCCCTCCCCCACCGCGCCCTCCACATCCAGGCTGGCCCGAGACTTTGCTCCTTTTGTTTGGCTGCTTTCTGGCTTCCCGGAACCTGGCCAGGAAGATCCACAGGCACGAAGAAGGTCGACGGAGAAAGGTTGAGGGGCTGGGAGTGTGCATTTTTGGTAGGAACTCAGAATTCCTGCCCCCTTGATACATAACCCCATTCCCTGTAGGCACCCTCCCTCCGCTAAGGCTGAAGACCATGGGTTCAGGGGCCCGATCCCCCGCCCCAGTTCACCCGCGCTGGGTGCCCCGAAGTTTTCCCGCTTACCTGTCCCATGGAGCTCTGGCGCCGCCCGCCTGCCCCTGCGCCCTCCGCTCCAGCCTCGCAGCTTCAGGACCTGTTTGTCCAGGCCATCTTCCCTCCCCGCGGCCTGCCTTCCCCGGAGGTATTTCATTTAACTTCGGCATTTGCAGCATCCCAAATGTTAAAGATCCCAAGACATCTGTCCCCTGGGGCATACCAAGGCCCAGAGGAAAGAGGGGAAGACGCAAGAAGGGACTGGAGAGTCCAATCCAAGAGTCGGGACGGGGCCGCATGCGGGAGTGACTAGGTACCCGCAGGGGTGTGCGAGCTGCGGGAGCAGCCGCTCGAGGGGCAAGGCTGTCCCCTTTGCCCCGCTTTCGGACGCCCGCGCGGCGGGACACCCCCGGCGCCGCCAGTTTCCGCAGCCCAGGCGGGACGAGGCTTCTCTCTTGGTCCCAGTGCCGCCTTTCATTCGCGCGCTCTGGCCTGGCTGGGGCCAGTTTTCATTCCTGGAGACCCCCGAGTGGAAGAATGAAAGGAGCCTGCGGAAGGGCGCTCCTCCGACCCTGTCCTCCCCACAGGCGCCCTCCCCTCGCTGTGCCGCGCTGCGGGCGGCGGAGCCCGGGTGTGTGGGTCGCGCGGGGATGGCCGCTCCTCCCCGGCCCCGGCCCCGGCCCACTCCCACTCCTCCCGCCGGGGCCGCTGGCTGAACTCGGGCTGGCTCTGAAGGGAAGGAGCACCCTCTCGGCGAGCGCCTCCTGCTGCCCGCTGCGAGCTGCTGTGTCCCCGTTCATCCATTCATTCACTTCCCAGTTTTCACTTGTTACCAAACATTTATTGAGCACCTACTAGTGCCCAGCCCGATGGATCAAAGCTCAAGCCCTATTCACTGGAGGAGTATCCAATCTAGATGAGTGATGAAGCAGCACAGTATCTGAAGTAAGGGCTGGGACCCCGGGCAAGGAGAGGGGAGGCTGACCCAGGCTGAGCCTTGGCAAAGCTTGGCCAGAGGAAGCAATACCAGAAGATAAGAGGGGGCTTGAAACAGCAGTGACAGGTGTACAAAAGCACAGCAGCAAGGGAGCACAGCGGGTTCCAGGAGCTGCAGGGAGGTTAGGGTTTGGGATAAGGAAGGAGTAAAGGGAGAGAATATGGAAGAGAGACGAAGCTAATTCGTCAGTCAGGGGCTCATCCAGAAGCAGGGCAGCAAGGCACAGAGGCTCACACCTATAATCCCAGCACTTTGGGAGGCCCAGGCCAGAGGATTGCTTGAGGTCAGGAGTTGGAGATCACTCTGGGCAACATCGTGAAAACCCGTCTCTACCAGAAAATAAAGAAATTGGCCAGGAGTGGTGGCACACACCTGCAGTCCCAGTTACTTGGGAGGCTGAGGTAGGAAGATCACTTGAGCAGGGAGGCAGAGTTGCAGTGAGTCGATATCCCGAAACTGCAATCTGGCCTGGGAGACAGGGAAAGACCCTGTCTAAAAAAAAAAAAAAAAAAAAGAAACCCACAATGTTTCACAAAGCTAATAACAGACTTGGTTTTCCTTTGACTCTTCAAACATGCTCCCTAGGAGACACAAAGCGGATCACTGAGGTCACGAGTTTGCGAGAGCAGCGTGGCCAACATGGTGAAACCCCATATCTACTAAAAACAGAAAAATTAGCTGGACCTGGTGGCTCACACACGGAATCTCAGCTACTCGGGAGGCTGAGGCAGGAGAATCGCTGGAACCTGGGAGGCGGAGGTTGCAGTGAGCCAGGATTGTGCCACTGCACTCTAGCCTGGGCCACAGGGCAAGACTCTCTCTTAAAAAAAAAAAAAAAAAAAGTCAGTCTCTTCCCACTTC